TTAAGTGTCGTAGCAATCTCTCGTACTGTTTGCGATGGATTTTTGTCGACGGTATTCTTCATTACAGCTGAATCAATCTCTGCTGGACGACCAGAACAGGACGCGTCACTAACATCAAAATCTCCAGAACGGAATTTGGCAAACCATTTTTGACACACACGTTCTGTTAAAGCATCGTCCCCATACACATTACAAATCTTCTTATGAACTTCCGCAGCTCGTTTGCCTTTTTTGAAATAAAAAAGTAAAATATGGCGAAAATGGACGTTCTTTTCTTCCATATTTGCAACCGTGCAGTACGCACAATACTCTGGTATTAACCGGCGTATGTTTACAAATAGGTTAGGTGGAACGTCGCTTTTCAGCTGCGCAAGCGCGTTGTGCGATAGCGCTGTGGAAAAGAGATAGCAGAACGAGTAAACCTACTCCGATTAAAAAACCGAACGAACTTATTTGCCAACCCAATAATATAGCCGAAATATTTCTGATTTAAATTGCGATTTTTTATACCTGTGTTGTAAAACACTTTATATTACATGTGTCAAACATCCATAATTCCAAGTCTTATAATTCTGATTTTTCATTTCGATTAAAAATACTTAAATTGAATCTGAAAATTATGATCAATGGTTTGTGTACATGATCGATTTCACATCGACTACATGTTTGCACATCGTTTGCCGTAATTTTTTCGTTTTATTTTGCTTGTAAAATGTGTGTCAACTTTTTTCTATTAAATTAAATTCGTTGAGTCAAGTATATAGTAATTTTATCTCATACTAATACAATTTTATTTTACTACGAACTCCTTTATCAAATCGTAATTTCTATTACGTTATATAAATATATACCATATATGTTATATGTAATTCTATTACATTATATAAATAGCAAATAGTGTTAATAGCGTATATAAGAATACAATATTCAATAAACACCAACAAACAATAACATCAATAATTTTAAAAATATAACTATTACATAACCCGCACGTTATACTGTATTTAAATTGTTGAATGATATTGAGAAATTGTAACATTGATGTTATTGTTACGCTCGTGCAAGGAAATAAAACGAGACAACGTTAAAAAGAAAACATCTTCAACGGTATTTACTATTTACAAGGAAGCACACGTAACTCGCAGGCTCAAGCTCTCTCTTTCGTTAAAGACCATCGCGCACGTCACGACGACTCAACCGTCCCAAAGAGAATCTCTCTAACCCGTTGTTTATCCGTCAACGCTGATCATCTGTTGTTTACGACTCGTTGCCAAGAG